GTATTTGAAAGGGATTACTCCATGCATATAATGTCCTTTGTCTTCGAGATTATTAGAATCCTGTTAAGGGGTCGTTACACTTACATCCTGGCCATCCGCTTCTTGGTTTTCCCCAAGATCCCATGAGTAATAGCGTAACGAATGAGTTAATGTCATAAAGTCATCCCTGCCTACACGGACGACGTCAGCAAACGCCAACCATTAACCTCCATCCAACTTCCTGGAGTATTATGCGCCTGTCTCCGCGACTGTTTGCAAGGGATACGGGCTTGCTTTTGCTTTTGTGTGCGGTCAGTACGGTGTGGTAGAGTTTGAACCTGGTGTCTCAAAGGCTGGCTTCGATAATACAGCAAAGGGATATACATTCAGCACGTGAACTCAACGGCGCTCATGGTAAATATGTGTGTCCAGCTGTAACTTTTTCTTTCTTTTATATAAGAACAAGTCCATTTGCTGGTATTATGCCTCTTTAATGTAAATACATATATGGGTTATATGCACACATTGCTTCATCTTCGCTTTACGCAGTACCGGCACGACCATTTTTATGCACAATGTTCTTTAGCACGACCGGAATGGACACTTTCAGTTGAGTTCCTGCTCCTCTTCAACATCAGTTTCCACTTTTGCCGTTAAGTGCCGTAGGGAAGAACAGTTTGCGATCCATTTCTAGATGGACAGCAGTGGCTATTGTCTTTCCGTGGCCATGTAGAAGCTCTTTAATGTCATCATTCCATGTTCTCGAAGGGCGACCTCTTGATTTCACTTCAGATCTTTTCACACGATGCACCTAGTTGTTCTGGCTGCATTCTTACTAGATGACCAAACCATTTGATCTTCTGTTTCTTAGTTGATTTCGATACATGCTGTTGTTCCTACAGTCTGTCTGTTAATATTAGCTCTAGCTTTGTCTCGGATGGATAAATTGGCGGTTTTTCTCGGGCATCTCATTTCACAGGTGTTAATTTTACGTATAATACATACATACATACATACATACACACACACACACACACACACACACACACACATACATACATACATACATACATACATACATACATACATACATACATACATACATACATACATACATACATACATACATACATACATACACACATGCATGCATGCATGCATGCATGCATACATACACGACATACATACATACACACACACACACACACACACACACATACATACATACATACATACATACATACATACATACCATACATACATACATACATACATACATACATACATACATACATACATAAATACACATAACATACATACATACATACATACATACATACATACATAACATACATACATACATACATACATATCATACATACATACATACATACATACATACATACATACATACATACATACATACATACATACATACATACATACATACATACATACAAATGCGCGCACACACACATAAAGGCATTATATTATTAAATCCTTGCTTGATTGCACACACACACATACAGACGTATAATAAGTCATTGCTAGCTTTTGCGCGCGCGCGCACACACACACACACACACACTGTGGATTTCACCTGCTCCAAGACGTTTCTTCTTTTGTTTTATTTATTGATGGGATTCTTAACCGTTGTGTTTCCTACTGCGCATACTAGGTCGTTTTGGCATTGTCTATTACATCTGAGCATTGGGGCAAACAGTTATTTCCCAGCTGCTTAGTTTGTAGACTTTTGATTGCCGTAATTAAACTAACACCATGAACAAAGCCTGAGGCAGTCGCCCCCCCCTCCCCCCCTCCCCCCCCCCCCCAGCCTAGTGGTACGGGATAATAGACTCGCAAACAAAGGAAGCCGGTGACGGTGTCTACACAAAGCTGTTGCTTGTGGTGATTAACTGGACTTTCAGGTTGATTTCTTCCAGCAGGTGAGCAAGAGTTTGACGTGATTAAAGTTTACAGATAACATCAAAGGATAGCTGGAAACCATTAAGTAAGAGCATATACAACGGGAGGCAGAAAGTGTCGGTCCATTGCGGCTAGTCATCATTGTGCCAACAGCCGATTTTCTCATTGTTTGGTGTCCTGGCTAAACACCTAATGGGAAGTTGCCTTTAAGTGGATAATATTCCACTTGTTACACGATAGGAGACTGACTTTCAAATCCAGCTGCGACTCGCTGCAGCCCACGGCCGGTGATGGTAATGGTGGACCGCGAAACAAGTTTCTCTGTTTTGGTGGGCAGCGAAACAGGTTTCTCTGTTTTGATGGGCCGAGAAACAGGTTGCTCTATTTTGATGGATCGTGAAAAAGGTTTCTTTGTTTTAGTGGGCCGCGAAACATGTTTCTCTGTTTTGGTGGAACGCCGGTGAAAAAATGGTTAAGGAACACTGGGCTAGAGTTGGCATCTGCTGCAAAATCTTGAGCGCGAAAAATCGTTAACGTCAAGACAGTGGATGATACCTGGCTTCGTGACTGATTGACGTTCAACCCCACCAGGACATCACACTCAGCGATAAAAACCCGGTGACACAAAGTGCCACCATTCGGATGAGGATCATCCGGGGACAGGTCCCTGAAGCCCCGTTCAACCCATAGGACCCCCCCCCCCCCGGCAACAGCCAGGTTGGAGCTTTAAAACAGCACAAATTTGCGTCTGACATTGGGGCGCACTTGATTACCTGGCGTCGTAGCTGGAGGTTAGTAGTTATATCACTGGTAACGCGGCGATCAATAGTATCCAACGACAAGATTACAAGATTCCCAGATGGTGTCGGTACCAGCACCTGGCCATGCGTGTCAGAAGCAGCTACGGTAATCTACACAGAACTGTTAACCATTGTATATTATTATATTTGAGCCGTTCATCGTTGTATGCTATGAAAATAAATGAGCAGTTCAGCGTTGTATGATATGAAAATATATGAGCAGTTCATTGTTGTATGATATGAAAATGTATGAGAAGTTCATCGTTGCGGTGTACATTTAAAAAAAAAATTAAAGACGATAACTGAAACTGTCGGTTAAATGGCTAACAGTTAATTGGAGTTTTACTGTAATTAAACAGTGCATTTGTTTAAAACATTGTTAGTAATATTAGAAGTATGTTTCTAAATGTGTTCCGGGGCCCCATTTGTGGGGACGGGGTATAGGAAGAATAGGTCTACTACCCCTAGCTACGCATGTCGTAAAAAAAATGACCATTTAGGGGTTCACAGACCCCGCAAGCTTGCTCTAAAATACAAAATAACGTGCCAGCCTCTACTTTAAGGGTAAACGCAGATGAAGGAGGAGAAGAAGAGGTCTGCCCCTGACGGCTTCAGAAGTGAGTACTAGGTGAGTCTTTGTTCGCACCAGAAAACCACACAAGGTGAATAGATACGAGCGCTGTGTAATCATTACGTCCCAAAACTTGATGTGTGACGGTGTACGACCGTTGCCACTTTATCACAAGACAGGGAAGAGAGGACAGAAGGAAAAACTCTACGAACCTTTGTTTACCCTGAGGTCTTTGTCCGACGCGCGGAAAGCTGAATGACTCCAGCAGTGAACGGTAAATTGAATGAGAATGAAAGCCCTGGGTATTCTTTAGGGAAGCGCTACATCCGCTTAAGTTTCCCTGTAAATAAAAGTCCAATTATTGCGATTCTCCCCTAGGTTACGGTCACTGTAATAAAACGGTCACTACGTAACCCTGTGTTGACTTCATCTGAAGTCAGAGATCGTCAGGTTAATTTCCCCCCAGTCCACGGAACGGCTAGTAGTATTGTGGCCAGCCATGCAAACAGAAACAGTAATAAATATTGGCTGACGTGAGCTTGTGTCCTTTTACTGACGTTGGTGAATCTTGAGCCAGATTCTGTGCTTGTTGTCGCTAGGTTAGTCATTTAGTGCGTCTAAATTATAGCAACAGTATAGAATAATATTGTTCGAATTTCATTTCTTCTTCGCAATCACCGGCTGTAAATTCTGGTGGAAAGTTCTTGCTGTTCGTCCACTGCTGGACTGCAATCCTGTTCTAGAACCTGAGTGTTGCATGTGAATCCGTTTGACAGATCTGACTACTTTGTATGCAGACTGTTGGTTCTTTGCCTATCAGGCAGATGCACTCTGACTCTGAAGGAAGATCCCAATTAGTCGACTTTTACGACATGCTTTTGGGTAGGCAGTGGGTCAGTTCTTGTTTTCCCTATAGTAGAGCTCCGGAACCCAGACGGGGTGAATTTCATTTAATTTGTTACTATCGGTATGTATTATTATTATTTTTTTTTTGGGTCTTCTTCACGGTCCTCTTCTTCTCCTTCTTTTAATCACAATCTTTTCAGCTTGCTTGATCTTCTGTCCCCATCTCACCTTTTATTTTTAAATTACACTCACACTCCCGGTTTTATTATTCTTCTTTCTTGTCATTGACGACGTTGCCTTCACTTCCTATCACTGTGTTAAACACTCAACTATAACTTTAGGGTCCTTTACTTTTACCGTTAACCTCTTTTAAAATAACTGTTCTTTAATCGTATTGTTTAAGGAGAGACACTGGATAATATTGTGGTGAAGAAGTAGAAGCAACAAAGACAAATGATGCTAGACAGTCAGAGATGGTGGCATGTATAGATGTCATCAACACATTTTATCGAGAACACCAAGGACTGTGATTGCCAGTGTGTGGAGAGACAGTGTCTAGGGCTTTTTGAAAGGCATATGAAGACGTTAATTCTAATTTCAGTATGCACACACACACACAGCCACATAATATGGAACAGACAAGAGCACACACCTGATCTTGATTGTGAGATAGCAAACTATGACCACATGTGCTCACCAGCATGGCACATGATGCTGCTGCTACATTGTGGTTCAGACTTCTTATCAAGGTTTACTACCATTGTCCTGTTCCAGCTGAGTTTGTTTTGATGGTGTACCCTTTATGTGTGTATTACTTTCACAAAGGACAAATTGTTTGACAAAATAACAAGTTATGTTTTTCCCCCCATTTATTTCAGAAACCTGGACAGAACTTGATAAAGCCAATTGCATTCAAACCTGTCCATGCCAGCTCGCCACTTAGCCCAGACAGGGTCATGACAAGACAGCTTGGAACTGATGGCCACATGAACGGATCTTTTGACATGACCAGACCGCACAGTTTGAAGCTGGGTAATGGCATCTTGAACACACAGGGAAGTTCAGATTCTCATATCGGAAGAAAATATGAACTGTCAGGTGATCCTGTAACTAAATTTCACCGACAGAGCTCTGATGGGCGTAGTTCACTTGCATCCATCAACTCTCCTCATGCAGCGGATATAAATCACCATCATTCACAGACGTCTTACTCTTTAACTGCCAGTGAAGACAGCCTCCACAACAGTCTTCAGCACAGCTCCTCAAACAGTTCTTCCCACGTTGGTGCTGGCAGTGCCTACAACAATATTCCTATCAGCTCCCATGCTTCCGTAAACTCTGTCTACTTACCCATCACTGATGAACCTAGCATCCCCAGATCTTGTCTTTCAGAAAGGCCTGATTCAATTCCGTCACTCACCGCCAACCATGTTTTGTTCCATCCAGTTGAGAGCATGCATCAGACCCCTTCTCCTAGTGATAGTGGTGTTGGTGAACTTGAAGCAATGCTAAGAGAGAAAGATTCTGAAATTAACACGCTGAGAGAAGTCATGGAAAGGAATGAACATGCAATATTTCAAGTTTATGAAGAAAGAAGGAATGTTTGGCTACGTGAGACTCAAGAAATACAAAATGAATATGAACGTCGGCTTAAAGTTCAGAATCGAAAGTCATATAAAACTGAACAAGTTCTTTCCCTTCAAGTGTATAAACTTCAGCAAGAGCAGAAGACCCTGCAGGAAGAAAAGGCGTATGAGAAAACAGTTAACATGTTAATAAGGAATTAGTGAAAAAACAAGGAATTTAGTTTTCAGGCACAGATTCTTTCCTTTCAGTTGAACTGAAGAAAATAGAGAACTGCACAGTTTCAAGACTAGTTAGTATGAACACAAGCTTTAGTTCATAAATGATGAATGTCCCCAGCCTAAAGACATTACTGCCAGCAGGGATTGTTCCACACAAACCATTGTAAATGAAGCAGCAGCAGCATCTGAAGACATGAGGTCCTCTTTGCTGGCAGAGAGAAACCAAATTATTGTTGATTTACAGGAGGAGATCATGCAGATTCAAATGCAGGTAGCCTTACTTAAAGAAGAGCGTGAGAAAGAACAGGAACAGTGGCTGGATGAGAAGAACAAAGTCATTAGGTATCAGAAGCAGCTTCAACTCAACTATGTCCAGATGCAGCGCAAAAATGCTGCACTAGAAAGAGAGGTTCAGCAGCTAACTCTGGAACTGGAAAGAACATAAACTTATTGCTCTCATGGAGAAGGGGTTTGTTCTATGGGAGGCAAATGGGAGAGCTTTTTTGAAAGCCTTGATTGCACATTAAATGCATGTTTCTCATAAAGCCACAAAACATTGATATAATCAATTCCCCGATAAACTTTTCTGATTTTTTTTTTTTTTTATCAGGCTTTTAGTTTTATGTATTACTACCTTCATATATTAGGAGGCCATATAAAATATTTAAAAATAACAACAACTTTTTCAATATAGATAAAGTTATAAAAAAATTGATTAATAAATCTTGAGTGACCCTTTTTTTTTTAGATGTAAATTTGTAATTCCATTTTTTCATGAGGCTTTAGTTTTATGTATTACTACCTTCATATATCTTTATATATTTTAAGATAACAACAACTTTTTCAATATAGATAAAGTTATAAAAAATTGATTAGTGACCCTTTTTTTTTTAGATGTAAATTTGTAATTCCATCGGGTCATGACCCATATTTTAGTATCCTTGGGGTTAGAGGGTTAATCCTCCTCCCCCCCCCTCCCCCCCCCCCCCCCCCCCCCCTCTCCTTTTCTCCCCCCGCCCCCATATCCTGCACAGCCTCAGAATGGTAAATACATATAGTAGAGATAGTTATACGAGAACAGTTGTAACATATGTCTGAGTGGAAGTCTGCTCGCTGTTCTTTGTGAGAATAAATATGAGATGTAGCAAGATTATGGGCAGTTGTTGAAATGATGCTCCTGCCATACAAACAATAATGCCATTACTGCCTTTAAGCCTGAGGATTTAGGGCCGTTCGACTAGTGTGTGTGTCATGCCACTCCACAGCAAACTACCATCATGATTAAACAAGAGAGTTTGTGCTACTCTCTGAATGATTGTACTTGTTAACAAAAGTTCTGTATATATCTTACAATATCTGTGATTATGAACAAATGGTGGCTTGGCCCTTCCTTTTGAGCTGCTATTGTGTCTGTATAAATGGAACTAATTTAGCATAGTATTTGTGTTCTGAACTGTATATTGTGTTTTATATTATAACAGTGTGTTCACATTGAGTTTATATTTAGGGCTATTTTAATTGTATAAAATGTTACTATAATGTTGCTTTTTTTAAATACCAGTAAGTATAAGCCTCTAGATAGGAAATATTGTGTAGAAATGAAATCGTAGACTTCACTTCTAGCTGCTGACATTTGTGTGAAACTGGAGCACTGTACTCCTTCACTGCTTTCTCTTTTCTAAATAAGTTGTTCACTAATGCTATGTGAAATGCCGAGTTTTTCATGAGGGAAAACTAACAGATACATTCGAAAAAAAGAATGAACAAACTAACTTTTATTTTCAGATGTTCACAAATTGGGTATGCACGCCTGTCTTACATTCGGCCCTTCCAAATACCCATCATTCACAAGTAATTGTATTTCATCAGTAGAGTTTAGTGTAAAGAACAGGTGTGTGAGTAGGATGTATTTTGTTGCCTCAACTATTTTTTACTGGCAGTAGATTAGATTTTGAAGACAGCAACAGCTATCACCAGGAATGGAAATTTAGTGGACCCCTGCAAAACAGCTTAATGACCTGGATTTTGCTGATGACATTTCTTTTTTGCCCCACTCATGGAATCAGATGCAAGATACATTAAACATATTCCATGAGACATCACAACCATTAGGTCTAACACACCCACAAGGGAAAGACAAGTTAACCAGGCAAGCAGTTAATTTCTCTTGGTGATATCCCACTCCACAATATGGAATCATACACCTAAATGAGCTGTAATGTGGATACAGATAAGGGGAAACTAATAGAGACATTAACATGTGAATAGAAAAGGCAAGAGGAGCTTTCTTTGTGCTAGGAAATTTTTGGAAGTCAGAGGATGTTACAAATAATACTAAACTTAAAATTGGTAATTCTAATGTAAGTACAGCTTTGTGGATTGGAAACATGGCAAACAACTAAAACAGTTACTAATAAACTGCAGAAGTTAACTGGTGCCTATACAGAATAGATGGAATTGAATTGTTTGGTAGAATTACTAACCTTGAAATTTATTAGAGATCTAAACAAATTCCAGTGAAGAAAAGATGAATGGGGTTGTGCAGGATGGTCATTGAGAAAACCTCAGAATAGTATAACTAGAAGGGCTTTACTCTGGAACCCACCGGGGCAGAGAAATAAAGGTAGCCCAATAAACCCATAGAGAAGGAAGCTAAAGAGTGAATTAAAAAAAGATTAGGAGGACATGGGGTGAGCTGCATGTGATAGCAAAGGATATGATCACTTAGTGTGAGTTGGTTGAGGATTTGTGCTGCATTGGAGAATGAAGGACAGGCTACAAAAGTTGGAGTATTAGAGAAGTCATATATAATAAGTTCCCAGTGTGGGTTCCGGAGTCCTATTGTCTGGAAAACAAGAATAGACACACTGCCTCCCGAACAGGCATGTTGTAAGAGTTGACTAGTTTGGGGTTTCCTTCGAAGTCCGAGTGCATCTGCTTGAGAGGCAAGGAACCAACAGTCTGCATACAGATAAGTCAGATCTGTAAATTGGATGTGCACGCAACACTCAGGCTCTGGAACAAGTCCAAGTCCAGAAGTGAATGAACAACAAAACTTACCAACAGAGTTTACAGCTGGTGAAGGCAAAAAAGAAGATATATAATCAGTGAGTGTTGTGTGGTGATATTTTCTCTTCTTCATTTCTTTGTTGTTTTTGCATAAAGGATTGACTAATGCTACATAAGATTGACAAGTTCAGAGAACTCACATGTAATAGTTTACTTATGTGTGGAGAAATGGTACCATATGCATTGTTTCTCCTTCTTATGTTAGGTAATCACATATGCTACATTGGTTTGACAAGAGAACTGCCCATATAATTTGTGGCAGTAACAATGCCTCAAAATATTTTGTTGCTTTCTTCTTTCCATGTGAAGTACTTTAGTCTTTAAGATTTCACAGCAGAAGCTGGAGAAACAGGGTTAAATAGGCAATGGAAAAACACCATTTTAATGTTTTTGAAGAAAAGAATGACAATTACTTTTAAACATATCTTACATGTTGTTTTTTTAAGAACAGAAATGGTACATCCATGACTCTCTCTCTCTCTCTCTCTTGCTGTACCCTACCAAGACATCACACAAGCGATAAACACCCGATGACACAAAGTGCCACTATGCAGATGACAATCACCTGTAGAGAGGTCCCGGAAGCCGCATTCAGCCAGTAGACCATATTTATGGCCGGGCTATATTGCGATCCTTGGTAACGGCCAGGGTGGGGCTTCAAATTAATGAGAAATTGCCTGCCACATGGGGATGACTATAACTACATCCATGAAACATAATTAACATTTTGTGGGTGAAGAATTTAATGTACCTTTCTGCTCCACAAATCTGATTTTAAAAATCTTGATAAGTTTCCTTAATGACAGCCATTAGTTAGGGGCACATGTATGTTACATCCCTTAGTAAGGAGCACTGTTCTGTTACATCCCTTAGTAAGGAGCACTGTTCTGTTACATCCCTTAGTTAGGAGCACTGTTCTGTTACATCCCTTAGTTAGGAGCACTGTTCAGTTACATCCCTTAGTAAGGAGCACTGTTCTGTTACATCCCTTAGTTAGGAGCACTGTTCTGTTACATCCCTTAGTTAGGAGCACTGTTCTGTTACATCCCTTAGTTAGGAGCACTGTTCTGTTACATCCCTTAGTTAGGAGCACTGTTCTGTTACATCCCTTAGTTAGGAGCACTGTTCTGTTACATCCCTTAGTTAGGAGCACTGTTCTGTTACATCCCTTAGTTAGGAGCACTGTTCTGTTACATCCCTTAGTTAGGAGCACTGTTCTGTTACAGTCTTTTTTTTTTTTTTTTGCTGTTGCTTTCTGAACTGTTCAACAGTTATTCCGTTGTTGAAGTCACTGCAAAACAGCCTTCTGCCAAATTATATGCAGCTGGATTTTACTATGTTCATAATCTTTAAGCCACAGGTGCCAACATTGAGCTGATGTTATTGTAAAATAATTCTCTTTTCTGCATGATGTACCCTCTTTCAGCAATGTTTGACCATCACTGTAACATTCATTTCTACTTACTATCTTTAGTTTATTGAACCCCTTCCTTTCCTTCATGTTCACGAACTGTAAACTCCAACAGAAAGCTGTATTTGTTTATCCACTTCTAAACTTTAGTCTTGTTCCAGAACCTGAGCTTTGCATGCACATCCATTTGACAGATCTGCAGGTTGTAGGTTCCTTCCCTGTCTAGCAATTGAACTCTGACAGGAGACAGAAATGTCAGCAAAAAGAATCAAGAACTTTGTTGATATTCTACAGTAAGAGTGAGATCCTGCAAAAGAGTGCTGCCTGATGATGTGGCCAGATAATATCATTTTATTATTTACTTGATGTAGAGTGAGAAGCAATAACAAAATTCATAATTTGTTTAAATCACCATTGATCACTGCCATCATGGGAACTAATAGATTGAAATGGCTGGGGCATATTGAGAGAATGTCAGATGACAGAGAGGTAAAACATATTTACACTAGGGAGCTGAATGGTCATAGACCACGAGGCAGACCAAGAAGATGATGGAGAGATAATGTGCAGACAGACCTACAAACTCTTGGTGTCACCAACAGGAGGGAGAAGGCCCACCAGAGAGGTGAGTGGAGGCGGGTGATATCTGCAGCAATAAACCTCAAGGGCTCGCAATGCTGAAGAAGAAGACGATTATTTACTTGAAAAGTGAAGGAGCAGCTAGTAGTTTGGTTAGAATGTTGAGCTCTCATGCGGGCAACCTGAATTTGAATCTACAATAAGCTGATATAAATTTCTTCTGTCAGATGACAAAAGTAAAAATCCCAGCCTGCACAGTTCATGCTGACGAAAACCCAAGCCTGCACAGTTCATGCTGATAAAAAACCCAGCCTGCACAGTTCATGATGACTGCACTAACCATGAATCCTCAGGCTGGAGATCACCCACTGTCTTACACAGTGTTA